ATCCACAATTTTGTTTGTTACACGAGATCCTGTAATTCTATTGGCTTATAAGTTTCGTCATAAGTTTCGTCAATCGTTATAGGTTTCGTCAATCGTCAATTCATCATTTCAAAATTGGCTTGATGAAAGGTTTCGTCAATCGTCAATGACGAAAGTTTCGTCATTCGTCAAGCATCTTTAATGACGGCCCCCAGAATTTAACTTTTCTATTCGAGTTCGTTTGATTTCTTCATCTGCAATATTGCGAATACGAATTCCCTACAATTAAATATTAGTATTTGATGTTTTTTCATATACAGTAATAAGTAATGAATTAAATGCAATTATTACAATACCTCGTCGCTTATCCAAGGAAGAAATGGTACCAGTAATTTCTTTCTAGATAATTCAGATATATGATCTTGTTCTCCAAATGGAATAGCTATCGGCATCTCTTCAGCGTCAGATACTTCGGGTGAAGTTGCTTCAAAAGAAAATAGCTTTTTGATTTCGCTTTTAGGATGGTTTAGTTGATTTTCAGGAATTTTGTTTAAAGCAGCTAGGCGGTTAGATGATTTCTTAAATAAAAAATAAGAATGACATTAATAAAAATATTTGTATTATAATTATAAATTATATTAGTTATATTACCGTATCACATCATTTGCGGCGACGTGCACGTTGATCATTTAAAAGCTTTGCAGCTAGGGTGGTGTTTCGTTCCTTTTTCAAGGTTTTAAAATAGGCTTCAGTGATTTCGGTAATTGTATTTTCATTCCATTTCTCATTAGTTTCTATGAAAAGATTTAGGATATTAGATAAGAATCTAAGTTTCTTTAAACAATATTATAATAAATACGTGTTTCTTCGAATTGGACGTCAAATTCTTTAATAAACAGTTCGACGTAATTTTGAGTAATTCTTTTATTTTTTCGATTTTTAGGACCAAGCTCAAAGTCATATACATAATTATTATTAAGTAGTGGAGGTTCGAAATCATCAAATCCATTAAAATAACGCATTTTATCATGAATTTTTGCGGTAAGTATAGGATTTGCGGTGGTAATAGCACGTGGAGAATGATTTGTTGTATTTGAAATGTTAATAATAGTGTCTCTACGATTCTGAATATAGGGTAATAGACTATTCATATTAGTTTGAAGTACAGAATTTGTTGTTGACAAATTTTCCAATACGGTTGTTGCGGTCATTAGTGTATCTTCAATACGTTGTATTTTAATTCCATGTTCATTACTAATACGTTGTATAGAGGTTACAAATTCATTTTGGTTTTGCTCATAAATATCGAGTCATCGTTTCAAAGAGTCAATAGAGTGTTTTGTTGTTTTAAGTTGGCCTTTAACATCAGATGTTAAAATAGATTTTACTTCATTCATGACTTGAGTTAAACCATTAATACCCGTTGAAAGAGTACTTAAAGTAGCTTTGTTTGCCATAAGAAAGATTTTGTTGATTTAGAAAAATAAAAATGTAAAAAATAAATATTATTCGAAGTTGATAAAATAATCTGATATCACAGATTTAATCAGTATTTGAATATATACAATTGGGTATTGTGGCCCGATTTAACCAAATTCATGTAAAATTAGCAAAATATTTCTTCAAAATTCTAAATGTTTTTCATAAGTTCTTGTTTCAAAAAAAACATGCCACATTTTGTGCAAAATAAAGAATATTAGGACGATTTGTTGACTTCGAAAATCCAATATTCCTATGATCCACATTTTAGGATTACGTGCAGATGACACAATCATTATTCCGGCTGCTTCTCTTGAAAATTGTCGATTGTGCGAAGAATGACCTACAGTATTTCAATTCACACAAAATGAAATATTTATTGTAATTAAAAGGTCACACATAATATTTGAATGTAAATTTAATACAAACTCACCTGAATTTTCATAACATTTTCTAAGCATTGCGTGCATCTGGGTAATTACCAGTTTTTTCATCATCAAAATTTTCATAGGATGTGGACGGAATTAAATCTGAAATTTCTTTTCTCATTCGTCTTTGCGTGTGTAATTGCGATTTCTCTAGACACATTGTCTTATTACCATTAACAAGATATTTAAAAAGACTCTTTTCAAGGGCGTGGTTACTTCCAATTTTCAAATCACATGTTAAAAAGCAACGAGAACAAAAAAAAAAAAAAAAAAATATATATATATATATATAATACGTACGTATACATATACTGTATGTATATGTATATATATATATATATATATGGTATCAAGAAAAAAATTTATTCATGTTTAATATGGATTCAAATCCTCGCTCAATAAACTGATCTTCCCATAATTCGCATGATAACTTCTATCGGTATTTGTAGACAATGCACCATCACGTGATTTAACATAAAAGTAGCTTTGCTTTTGTAAACTCTCTTGAACCAATCAACTATAGCAAGGTAATGGCTAGTTGGTGTTGCCGAATTTGGTAAAAATATACGATATTCAAAAAAAACTTAATTACTCCCAGCCAATTAATTCTTTTACCATCATCTAGTTGCCATCGTGCTAATATATTCGAATTTAAATCAGAGCGTGAAAAGAATGATTGATATATTTCATCTCCAGTTTGAGAGCTATTGCTCGTCGGGATGTTGAAGAAACTAGAATTGATTGTTTTGAATTTGGATTTTGATTTTCACTGTGAAAGCTGTAATTCGGATAAATATTTGAATAATATTGAACAAGAAATTCAGTTATCTTAGTTGGTAAGATAATCTCACGAAAAGGTCCAATAAAATGACCAGGAAATCGTTCTGAGCCGGTTACGACATGATTAATTAATCCACCAGACATTGCACGGAAGTTTAATGCTTCTTGAACTGTAAAATTGTAGTGTCCCAAAGTTCTATTTTGTTCAATATTAGTTTGTGCAATTAAATCTAATGATGATAAAAAATTTTGTGGCAAGTAGGAGAAAGCCGTGGTTTTAATTTGTTGAATATGAATTTGATGATTAAAATTTTCTAGCACTTCTAGCTCCATATTACGATTTGAATTAGGAAACAAACCGAGTTCTCTAAAGTAAATAAATTAGATAAATTATGTAAATAAATTAAATAATATATTACATAAATAAATTAAATAAATAACATAAATAAATAGCAATAATTATATTCTTTAAAAATATATATGTATATATATAACTTGCCCATTATAATGTTCATAAGCGAAGCACCAGAATGAATACCAAGGGCCGTAATCAAGCATATACTCTCGTAAATGTTTGTGTAAATGCATATTAGGGGAACAGAAACGTTTTCCATAAATTTGCTCAGCATACTTTAAGAATGTCATCATAGCTATATGACCAGCTTCAATTTCGGCTTCAGTTATAATTCTTTGGCTCTATATTGACACCGCAGTAACAAATGCTTGCCAATATCATCGATCACCTTCATCAAGAAATTTGTGCAAAACATAAGTTGAATAAATCAAAACCCATGTCTTCCATTGATCAGCCGTAAGTGCATCAAAACCTGATGTGATCTTAAAATTTATATGTCCTATATCAACCGGCAAAGGAGTTGCATCGATTTGATCCTGAATTTCATATAATTGTTTAATACCAAGCTTAGGTGAATCCTCATTCATCCATGCATAATGCATTATACGTTTACTTGTGCCTAAAAATATATTATGCATGGGATCAATTATAGTAAATCGAGGTATATCAATATATGGCAATTCTAAAAAACAAGTTCATCGAATCCCATATCGTTGAAATATTTTTTTTTGTGTTGCTGAATCACTGATTTTGTATTGAAATGCTATTCATCGGTGTTCAGCATTAGTCAATAGCAGATCATCTTGAATATAATTAGAGTAATCAAGTTTGGAAGATCCTGAAAAACATGAAAAAACTCGAGTACATTTGCTGCATGCATGTTTTGAAGAATGCGGAGCTAGTTCTGTAACCTAATTAATAAAAATAACCATAATTAACAAGTTATATACTTGTAATTAATAAACTTAATATATTTCCACTGTTAATTACAACAATACGTGACAGATTATTTAATTGATCAACATTGCCAATATTAAATCAATTTTAATTGTAAGGGGTAGATTGAAAGGAGTTAAAAGGGGGGATTTAGACATAACTTAAAAGAAAATTATAAGAGCATCAAGAGCAGTTTCATAGGCAAAATTTTGAATGAAAAAAATTGATCAACCTGTCACACATTCCAGACATACAATTATAAAATAATATACAATATACGTACCTTACACACAGCTGGTATATTACATGCAATTTGAATTAATGCACAATGAAACATACGACCAATTGGATATAATGTAGTTTTAAACAATTGACCACTCCAAAGTTGCTTTAGTTCATTGATTATAGGTTGAAGATAATTTTGTAATTGGGTTGTGTCTGGTTCTCTTGGACCAGGTATAATACCAGTAAGAATAAGATTTTCACTTCGATATCTAATATGTCTTGGAAAATTGAGAACTGTAATATAAATTGGTGCGCAGCTTCTTTTGACTCGACTATAAGGCGTATACCAATCAAGATTGAGAGCTAATCCAATTCGAACGTCAGTTTTATCCCCTACAAAAAATGGTTATCCTCGCTCATCTAAAAATTATCTCCAGACTTTCCCATCATAAATATCGCCTAACACACCCTTCTCAACTTGTCGCTTAAATGGTGAATCCATTAATCTTTCATTTGTTTCATCTGCTAATATTGACGCCATTCTTGTTATAATAGATTGATAAGGATAAATCATTTGAGGCTAATTTGAAGTAAATGTTGTGTTAACTCTTTAAATTACTATAAAATATCAAAATAAAATAACTTAACTTTATATTTGAGCTTTCCACCTGATCCTCTAATAGCCTTCGTTAAGACTCGTTGACATATAGGACATTTTGTATGTTCTGAAGTTTTTAAATGAAATTCCGCAGGTAAGTAAAGAGAATGACAACGCAAGCACACTATATACTTAAGAACTGATTGAGGTTGTGCGATAATTTTTTCAACAAAGTATTGACTTTTAAGAAAGGTTTGAAAATGAGATACATCTATAAAAGTTAATAACTGACTAAAAAAATAAATAAAGACATGATTCCGGTTTTGGTAATCGTAAATGCTCTTTGAAATAAGAATAACCAAAGAATAATCCATTGTATCACATAATCTTCTTTTAAAAGCGGCAGATTAGGTAAAAGTCATACTGGATTATATGATGGTTCTGGCAAAATATCTAAGATTTCGGGTAGCCTTGAATTAACATTTAATAATGAAGATGGTGTAATTCTTTCATGATCTTCATTATCGGTTTCTTCACTGGAATCGATTTCTTCATAAATGTTGTACCCATCCTGTTCAGAATTATTATTTTGGTCGCTTTGATTGGAATTATCAGAATTATTATAGTCGTCACTTTGATCATTTGTTGATAAACGATCTAATTGCAATATTGATAATTTTTGGGTTTATAAATTAAAGCCCTATTTGACGCTGTCTATTTTATTAATATTTAATATTAACTGATAAAATTATTAAGCAAATATTTCAAAGCAAAATGTCAATAATTATTATATTTATTTTTTACCTCGTGTGTGAGTTTTCGATTATTTCCATATGCGAAGATGTATCCGCAATATTTATATTATCATTATGACTTTCAAGTTCATTCAATTGTGCGTCAGAATATTGTGTGTTAGAATAATCTATCTCATTTTTGTTATCAAAGTTATTTTGGTCCAATTGTGTGTTAAAAAAGTCTGTTACATTTTCACCATTGAAGTTACTGTGTCTATTGAAAATTTTAAGCTTTTTGCTTATTGATTCTGTGCAAGAAAATTTATTGGAGTAGTAGTTATATATTGAGAATGGTTCTTTTGATGTCGTCTCCAGGTTCTCCATGACAAAGACTTGTCGCCGATAATTTGACATTTTGAACAATAACACTTTGGCATTACGTGTGAAGTTCAAAAAAAAATATATATAGGTAACGTAGTGTTGAATTACTGTTTGTTCACTGAAAGCTTCGTGATTTGTTATTTCGCACTCGCTATATTTATCCATGATACCTCACGAAGTACAATGAAATATTTGGCACAATTATTAAAAGAAAATAATAAAGTAGAAATTCGATCATGTATCGATCAAACATATTTATATTATTTGTAAAATAAACTATTGTAAAATAAAGTTGTCATTGTTATGATCAGTGTCATTATTGCATAAACTCCAATACTAAGTATTCTAGAAGTCTTTTATTAGTTTTTCAAATATTTTTTACTTGTTTTTGAAAAATTTTTTATAAATATTTACTTTTTAATTTGATAATAATTACAAAGGTTTTTTAATAGTATTTCAGTAGTTTTTTTAATGATGTATTATCGAAAAACTTTAGAACTAACTTACTATTCTTTACAAAAGTTTTTTAACATAATACTTTAAAAAAAGATTTACAGTTCTACCTGTGTTAGTGGGTGAAGTTGGCAGAGTTTCTAGGATTTAGAGTTAGAGCTATAATAAAGATTTTAGTAGGATTTATATTTTCAAGTCAAGACCCAAATTTCAGCAT